TATATGTGTCCATCTCTCTTTATTCACACACTTTTTAGAGTTCACAGAATATCTATATTTATAGACAACCCTAGGAAAACTTCCCAAAATAATCAATAAGAAAATTACTTTGAAATGAATAGGCTAGTGGCCTAGTGGTATCTGGCCCTAACTTCCTAAAACGAGGTCAGGGGTTCAAGCCCCAGTGGAGGTATGTGTGTGTGAGTACCAACTAAGAAAGAAAAAAAAATATTTTGAAAGCACAATTTGGAAAATTTCAGCTTTCGCATTTGTCCATCGATACCTGTGTGAGGGTCGATCGATCGAAGATTTAGGGGACTTCGATCGAAGATTTAGGGGACTTCGATCGAACCTTACGGAATCAATTCTTGATCGATATACTATAGGCTCCATCAGTCGATGCATTGAAGCACTAAGATCAACAGTTCAATTCTAAGTACCCTCGATCAATGAGTGCATATCAGCTAAATAAGCTGCAAAACTGATTTTAGAATAGAACATGCATATTTAGAAAAATATTTATCAATCAATGAGTGCATATCAGTTAAAAATGCTGCAAAACTGATTTTAGAATTGAACATGCATATTTAGAAAAATATTTATCAATACTCAAAAAAATTTATAAAACTTTGAAACTTGATTATATAAACATGTATGCATGAGCCTAATATGCTGAGGATGATTATTGAAGTACATTTACCTTTATACCCTTGTTTGATGAAGTTGACGAATATGTCCATTGAGGAAAGCTAAGCTTCACCCAAATACTCACTAATCACCTAACCATTACTCTAGACAACTCATAAGAACTGAACATAGTCTAAATTACATAGCACGAGTTTTGTTTTATGAAATTTGCCAACCTAGGTCCGTAAGAATTCTTCTTTTCTTTTATTCTATGTTAAAGGTATGGGGTTTAGTTCTGCAAGACCTAAAATCAGTTTATTGCATGACAAACACAATTTGATATTTAAATTATGGAGGGAGAAATTGACAGCAAAAAGGAGGTTTCAGCATGACTATTTCTTTTGATAGAAGTTTTAAAGCCATAAAACTTGGGATCAACTACAAAAATCCTTTTAGCTGCTATCATTCATCAAGGGCTACAATTTCCCCAGTATACTATAACATCAAATATGATAGAACAACACAACCTGCATATTTTTTTTTTGGGGGGGCATTTTTGTTGTCCTTACAGTACCTCCGACTCAATCCATGACACTCCTAGATGAATTCATTATCTATGTTGCACATTTAGCAAGCAATTTAGATCACTTTCAGTTATCCAGTTATCCTTAATTGGTGTCACCTTTAATTCTAATAGACTAATGCATCCTAATAATAAGACTCTACCGTACATATATACATATATACATATAAATATTTAATAGTAATAATTCATTAAAGGCGCCCAAGAGGAGAGCTCTCCCAAGAGAATACACAAAGGTATAATTTCAAGCTATCAACAAAATAAACAAAATCTCCCACAAATTTACAATTCCACCCATTAATCCAAAAGAATATAGAACTAAGAATGATGTATTAATACCCAATAGGATCTCATATTCCTCTTGCGTCAAAAGCCCCACCATAAAGAAAGGTGTTAGGATAGTGAAAACGGGCGAACATAAAGATCCAATGAAAGCCAGCAAAGCAATCACAACGTAGTTCAACACAAACGGGCAATAAAAGCTTTAGCAATGAGTTCTACATCAATCTCCCCTGCTTGAAAAGAACTCGTCCTCGAGTTAAGACTGGAAGAATGAGTCTCATCTGGCGGAAAATACTCAAATAGATCTGTAACATCAAATGTAGGAGAAATAGTCATATCTTCGGGAAGCTCAACAATATAAGCATTATCGTTAATCTTCTTCAGAATCTGATAAGGCCCATATTTCTTGTTCTTCAATTTGTTGTAGCTACCAACAGGAAACCTCTCCTTGCATAGAAACACCATAACTAAATCTCCTTCTTGAAAGACTTTTTTCTGCCTCTTCTTGTCTGCTGCTTCCTTATATTTCGCATTGGCTTGTTCAAGATGCATTCGAACCTCACCCTGAATCGCTTGGATGCGATCTGCCATGTGTTCTGTAGCAACTCTCTTTCCAGGCAGCTTCGGAAGTGGGACCAAATCCAATGCATGCTTCAACGAATGATAGTAAACAATAGCCAAAGGCGACTTGCCTGTTGACCGATTGACCATATTGTTATATGCGAATTCTGCCTATGATAACGCAAAATCCCACTGTTTTGGTTTCTCACCAGAAATACAACGAATTAGATTGCCCAAAATCCGATTGACCACCTCTGTCTGACCATCAAATTGTGGATGACTAGTGCTACTGAAATTCAAATATGTATCAAAACGTTGTAATATGTGTCTTCGGGATGAGGAAACAGTGGATCACCTTCTCCTCCATTGCACCATGGTTAGAGACTGCTGGAATTTGATGTTTGCCTTGTTTGGGATTCTTTGGGTTATGCTTGGATCCGTTAGAGGGTTGATTGAGGCTTGGAGAGGTTGCCATGTGGGGGCTCACATTCTGGATGCTTGGAGGGCTACGCCTCTTTATGTGTGGTGGTATATTTGGCTCGAGAGGAATATAAGATATTTTGATGGGAAGGAGTTGTCGATTTCTACTCTTAAATTTTCTATTATTTCCACCCTTTTTTGTTGGGTTTCTGGGAGATATCATAGATCTTTAGAGGAAATTGTCGATTTTTTTGGCCTCTTTGAAGGCTTAAAGGTCCTTTGTGGCCTTGTGTATATCTTCAGGGCTTCGCCCCCCTTTTGAGCGCTTTTATATAATTTTTCTTACTTATCAAAAATATATATATATATATATATATACTCAAGAGGGATGTTGGCAACCATGTGCGGCGGTGTCCAATCTGTCAATCTGCTCAAGGTCAGTCTCAAAACACTGGTCTTTATATCCCTCTACCTACACCAGATTATCCTTGGGAGGATTTGTCCATGGACTTTGTCCTAGGACTTCCATGCACTCATCGAGGGGCATATTCAATTTTTGTAGTTGTTGCTCGTTATTCAAAGATGGCTCACTTCATAGCTTGCAAGAAGACTTCTGATGCTACACATGTTGCAAATCTGTTCTTCAAGGAAGTTGTTCGTCTTCATGGAGTTCCTAAGTCCATCACTTCTATATATATATATATATATGCATCAAAACGCCTCCACAAAGTCCTCCAAAAATGGGATAGGAATTTGGTGTCCCTATCTGAAGTGATGGACTTAGGAACTCCATGAAGACGAACAACTTCCTTGAAGAACAGATTTGCAACATGTGTAGCATCAAAAGTCTTCTTGCAAGCTATGAAGTGAGCCATCTTTAAATAACGAGCAACAACTACAAAAATTGAATATGCCCCTCGATGAGTGCATGGAAGTCCTAGGACAAAGTCCATGGACAAATCCTCCCAAGGATAATCTGGTGTAGGTAGAGGGATATAAAGACCAGTATTTTGAGACTGACCTTGAGCAGATTGACAGATTGGACACCGCCGCACATGGTTGCCAACATCCCTCTTGAGTTGTGGCCTATAATATCGCACTTTGACCAAGGCTATGGTCTTATCTCGACCACAATGTCCACCTAGACCGCCACCATGTAATTCATGAATAATCTGCTCACGAAGGGAACTCCTCGGAATACAAAGTTGATTACCACGAAAAAGAAATCCCTCATGCATGTGCATACATTCAGCACCAGTCTGACACTTAGCCCAAAAATCCTTAAAGTTATCATTTTCCCCGTACAAACTCCTTCAAACAGTCAAAACCCACAACTTCAGCTCGCAAAGTCACCAAGAGTGCTGCTCTTCGGCTAAGTTCACATGGCATGCATCCTATTAAATTGCTCTGATACCAAAATTTGTTCACGGGGAACAAGTTACCTTGAATCCACAAGGCGGGTGTTTTGAATCCACAAAACAAAAGATAATTCAGAGAAATCTGATATATTATTTGATAATTGAATGAATGATTCTGATCTCTATGTTACACATATTTATACTGAAAGAAAACCCTAATCCATAAGGAAACTAACTACAACTTGAATCTTTATAACATAAGGAAATCTAATCTCGAAAAGATACTAATACCCGAAAATAAGCCTAAAAATAAAGTTTCTCTTAAAATTCTAAAAAAATAGAGAAATAAACCAAATAAAATAAAACTACTAAATATAAAATATGAATGCAATCCGAGTTTGGTTAGACAATGAACAAAAATCCCGAAATATTCGACAGGCTTCTTTTGGACCAAAAACCCCGTTTTGAGGCCCTAAACGATGGTATTTCACTGAAAAGCACGTTACATCATGGTGTAACGGTGAGTCTTGATCGTTGAGCCGTTTCCAGTCAAAAAACTCTCTTATCGGGTCAAAAACGAACACTTCGGGATTAGCCCAGAAAATCTGTCAACATGCCGGCCCCTAGCGGTCCAAACGGGCCTAAAAACTTCAGTAATCAGTTCTACTTCACATATAGATATGAAAAGGTAGAAATGACACATTCTGTTAGAAGTGAAGAAACAAACATTATGTTACTTGTTAGAGATCAAATGCTTAGAGATCAAAACCTGGATACAACTACGTTTTCTGTAAATGCTTATGTTAAGAAACAAACATTATGTTGAATTCAAATGCTTATATTACTTTTTTCCGTTCCTTTCTATTTACTTCACTCTAACCAAACGAACCCTATGTGTTTTTTTAGTCATATCAATTTTCTATCTCTGTTTACTTCACTTTTATATTTCTATTTTTTTTTTTTTAAATTATATATTCCTGAATACATATACGAAGACTAATATTGTACAAATCATATTACAATTGATATTATAAAATTTTCAAATTTTAGTTTGGCCCATTCAAAATTGAGGCTTCGCCCCCTGCCCCTGCCCCAGCTTATAAAAAGGATGGTTTTACTTTATAGCAGAAAACAACATAATATCTGATTCTACAAAAAAAATTACTTACTTTCCTGTTGAACACAACGTTATTGAGCTTGTAGCGGCTTTGAGGGAGGTCGATGTCACCATAGTAATTCCTCTGGTACTCCTCAGTGGGCAGAGGATCATCATCCACCTCTTCCACTGCCTCGGCGTGCAGAGAGTTGTCTTCAACCAACAAATTCAGCCATCGCTTCCGGGTCCCCAGCATGTCTAACCTCGCATATTTCTCGTACTTCATCACCTTGCAAGGGAATACTACCCCTTCTTTCAGAAATCGATTGAATTCTCTGTGCTTCTTACCTTTGGCCTGAGGAAACACTTTGGAGCGCGAGTCCAAATCCCAACCGTTAGTTGGAATATCTGACTTGGAATTGGAATTGGAAGGAGCGAAGGTGCCGAGAGAATGAACAGCCATTCGAGGGAGGAACTTCGAGTAAGTTGTAGTGAGAACGCTTAATTCCATTGTTGCAATCTCTAGGGTTCTTGGGTGGGAGGGAAAAGGGGTATAGGTTCTTTTTCCTTTTGGGCAACTAAACTATGGATGCAATAGGTATGACAATCCAATGCGCGGAGTGATTCGAGTGGGAAGCTGAGAGAGACTGCTTATCGATAAACCCTAAACGGCAATTTAGTCTATATGTTTGTACGGCGAGAAAGAAAAGTAATTTTAACTTATTGTGGTTGATTAGCGGAGAGAAAGAATGAAAACTAATAATTATGTTTAAAAAAAAAAAAATTTGTTTTAATAAATTTATTATTATATTTTTTTATCAAGATAAATTTATAGATTTAATTATGTAATATAAAAATAAAAATCAATTTAATAAAAATATTATTATTCTTTTGAATTTATGTTAGGATTAAGTGTAAAAAACCGTCCTTAGCTATTCTCCTTTTGCAAATAATTTTTCTAAATTAAAAATTATCCTTCTAAACTATTGATTTGTTATAATTAAGAGTAAATTCATCACAAAAGACTGTTTTATCCTTTTTCGTTAAAAATTTTTCTTCTTGTTCAATTATTTTTATTATCTTTTCTTTTATGTAAATATTAATTATACTATTTATCTTAATTTTATTTTTAGTATCAATTTATCATAAAAATGAAAAAAAAAAAAAAAATAGATAGATGAATTTGTAACTATCACTTTCTAAATTAATTAACTTATTATTAAAACTGTAATATTTCTGTTTTTCACCATTTTTCATTTTCTGGAATTTTTTAAATTTTTTTAGGGTATTTTCGTCTTTTCTCGTTTTGCGTACCGGACACCGTGGAGTGTGTCGGGTGTGTCAGAAAGTTGATTGAGACATTTCATTGAGTTCTGGACTCTTTGAAATGCAAAGGCTGCCATTTCGGCATTTTTCAATTTTCCGGACCGAAAAGTCCCGTGTGGGACCCGCTACCAGAATTGTTGCGTACAGGAGTTTTGTTTGGGTCCAATTGCACCTCATTTATTTTATTTTATGTATTATATGTGGTTGTGAATTATTAAGTGTGTGTGTGTGTGTGTATTTGTAATGGAATAAAATAAAAAAGGGAAAAAGGTATTTTAGTTGGTGGGACCCACATGTTTAAAAAAAATAAAATAAAGGCCACGAAACCATTTGGGCCTCACAATATTCTCTCTCTCCCGTAAGCCTATCTCTCTCTTTCCCTTCTCTTTTTTCTTTTTCTTTTTCACAAAACTTCAATCTCCAATTAATCTCTCATTTTTTGGAGTTTGTTGATTCCGTCTGCGGCAAATTGAAGAGCGCATCGAGATCTTTGATTTGATCGGAGCCAAGCCACGTTTGGTGCACCTTGAAATTTCAAAAATTAGGGTTTGGATCGGGCAATTTGTGGGGTTTTTGCTTCCTTTTGAGGTAGGAATTTCTAATCCACAACCCTCTTGAATTTTTGTGAGTTAATTCCTTTAAATTTGTGATTTACATGCTTAAATTGTGAATTTTTCTATGCAATGTTCTTTATATGTTGTGCAAGCATGTAACTATGTCTTATTTAGTAAATGATAGTGAAGCATGTCGAATTAATGATAATTCTATGTCCTTGTTGGCTTGAGTGTTTTATTTTGTAAATAAAAAGCATGAGATCTAACGAGCCCTTTCCTATATGTTTAGAGAATGGACTTTTTAATGCAAGAGGTCGCTTCGCAAGGTCAAAATATGATTGTGGTTTTGAAAGCCTTTCTAGTCAAATTTACATTTATAAAAACCACTACTACAACTAATGAAGTGTAGTGAGTAGGAATTGTCCACAGAGATTATACGTGTTGGAATTCAACTTCGACTCTGGCGTATCAAAAGATTGCAAAGGAATATTGGTTGTTTGATTACACTAAGATGCAATTAATTAAAATACAAGTAAAATAAAACTAAGTTGAGATAGGGATTTAAGAGATGAGAAGTGAGGTCTTGGGGTGCATTGGAATCACCTCCAAGCTCGTTCATCAAACCACACACTTTCAACTAATTTGGAAAAAACCTTCTTGTGAACAAATGCGACTACCAATTGCAATATTAAGCATGAACCATCAAATTAAAGAATGAATTATCTACCTAACCTATAAATAAACTAAGTGTAGCACATCCCATCAATTCTAAGCATGACCCATCAAATTAGTAACAATTGTAGCACACATCAATCTAGATAATCATGGAATTTGCAGTAATAAGCTATGGAATATCAAATCAAGTATAGATTGTCTACCTACCTACAAGCATGAATTAAATTGTAGAACAACCCATCAAGTGTAAGTATAATCCATCAAATTAATTGACAAACCCATCTAATAATAACCATGTCTAGCCATCACTAGATTCCCAATCAACCACACATAGATATGCAATTAATATAGAAAAACTAGTATAGAGATCAATTCCCAAATAATCACACATAAGATAACATGTAATCACAAAGAGAATCAATATGAAGAATTAAACCATATGAATCATGTGAGACATAATTTCCAATTTAATCACACATAGACATGTAAATAAACTAGAGAATTAATAGAAAGAATTAAAGCATAGAAATCATAGAAATATACCAAAATTCATTAAATTCACAAGGCTAGAACACAAATCACAAGATATTATTCCCCAAAAAGTATAAAAGAGATAGAGATTTAGATTACAAACTTGTGGCTTATCCAAGCCTCAAGAAGAAGTCTAGCCAATCATAGAAGAGGTGGGTGTGATCTTGGAACCCTCAAGGGCAAGCTCCAAATATGGCTCCATCTTCTTTTTCCTCTTCTTCTTCTTCTTCTTCTTCTTTGAAGCTCTAGAGAGAGAGTATGTATGTGTGGATCTAGAGATGGGTTCTTGAGGTGTGCCTCCACTTCCCTCTTTTCTTCTAACCCTAATCTCTAACTTTCTAGAGAGAGAAAGTAATGAAAATATAGAAATTACAATGTAAAATATGGATCTCTCTACAAAAATGGTTCAATATCTCATATATACAAGGCTTTGAGAGCCCAAAAATGTGAGAACTTGGCCTTAGGATCTTCCCTTTCAAGCACAGCCCGAGTTGGTTTGAAATGAGCTTTAGATTTGTTTTTTAATAACTTTTGTGAACAGTTCGATCGATCCAACTTTTCTTTGATCGATCAGGGTTCGATCGATCCAACTTTTCTTCGATCGATCAGAGTTGGCTCGATCGATCTGACTTTCCTTCGATCGATCAAACTTGGCAGATTTTCAGTATCAGCCTCCTTTTGCTCCAGATCAACCTCATTTTCCTCTAAATTCTCACCAAGACTTGGTTTGACTTCAAAAAGGCCTTAAGAAGCCATTTTTAGCCTGTTTTTACTTTATTGACCTGAAATAGACAAAAACATGAAATTAGACTAAAACGAAAAAATAAGATAGATAAATGGACTAAAATACTCTCACTTAGGTGCTAAAATGCGGTACATTTGAGTGCTCATCAAGATCATACTTAGAGAATTTCTATATAATGTTGTTCAATATTGATTATTTACTTGAAAGGCATGAAATTTCTTTATTTGCATAACATTAAGGTATGTGGAACATTTATACATCCATTGGGAAAGAAATGGGAAGTTGATTTTAAAGGAAATGAAAATGGGGCTTTGGGGGAAAAAAAAAAAAACAAAAGGTTTTGATAAACGGTTTTTGAGAAAAACCCGGATGCCGAAGAGGTACCGAAGGTCCGTGGCGTTAACGTAGCCTAGAGAGAATTGGGGAAATTACCCTAGTGTGGTTGAGCTATCTGGCCCCAAATGACGCTGCGGAGGTACCAAGGGTCAGAGACAGTAGCCAATCATTCTCTCGTGTCGCCGAGGAGTCACCAAAGGACGAGTTATGTTAACGGTTTGGAAATAATGGCAGAAATGGTTTTGGAAAAGAGGGAGTGACATTGCATGGCATTACATTCCATTGCACGGCACAATTTAATTATGACTCGGATTGTCGAAATTGTTGATATGTTTACCCCGGTATGGCATGATCCCGCTGCTTTATTTTTCTATTCATTGTGTGGATTCACGGGGTCTCAAAAAGTGTGTCTTAGGCACCACCTACTGAGCAATTTTGCTCACCCCTTATTATTAACATTTTTTCAGGTCACGGGAAGAGGGTGGTGGATGACATTCCTCCACAAGCATGAGAGGAAACTTGAAAAGTGTTTTTTTTGCAACCATTTGTAGACTTGGGCCATCATTTTTGTAAAGCAACATTTTGATATATATTAAGAGTGTTTAGCATGGTCTTGTAAATTTAACTATGAGCCTTTGGCCCTATTTGATGTAAATTTGGAACAAAAGTGTAAGGGTTTTGTATTAATTTTTATTTGAATGAAAAATAATGTTGAGATCTATTAAATTGTTGATATAAGGGACCATAATATGTAGAACATTATTTTTTTTCATTGTGTTGGGACAGGTTTGGACTTGGATTTAAGGTCACCAATGGACCAAAAGAGTGTCTAAGTGTACAAGTTCATGATTTTAGGCTTTCTGGGCATTTGTTTTAGTTTTTGGACTTGGGGAACCACATCCAGGAACCGGTTCAAGGGGTGTTTGGTTCACGTTTTGGGTATTCTGCCCATGTGGAACTGGTACCAAGATTTGGGAACTGGTTCCAGCCCTTCAGTGGGCTTTTTGCCTTTCACATTTTTATCAACTTTGGTCATTTAACTTCTTTTGGTCATAACTTCTTTGTTCCAAACCCAAATAGGGTTATTCTTGAGTCCATTTTCAATGATTTTGAGTTAGTTTTCCAATGCGACTAGCTTCATCCTCAAATTCCATTCATGCTGAGAGTTATGATCGTTTTAGTGGAACAGTGTCAAAATTTCCCTTGAACCGGGTAAGGATACTTTTGGGAAATCATATCAGGTGACTGTAGAACCTCACCAAACATTATGAAATATTTAGAATAATTATTTTAAACTTCATTTGACTAGTTTAAGGTCTTATTACCCTCTCATATTGTAAAATGACCATTTTACCCCTACTGTGTCATCGGGTTTGGTGAAGGACCCGGTTAGTGACCTGGACCCCCGATTTGGGTTATTACAAAAACTTTATTATTTATAATAAAACGTATCATAACCAATTTAAACATTGTTATTGTAAAAAAAATATCATCTTTTTCAATATAATATATTGATGAAAAATTAATAAAATACT